TCTCTCTCTCTCTCTCTCTCTCCAAAAAAGCCCCTAACCGCCGGGGCAAGTATGTCACAGTGATGTCTACTTTTTTTTAGCCCTGTTCTAGAGAAACTAAAAAAACTAAAAAAACTAAAAAAAGATTTTGTCTGGCTAAATCGAAAAGCTCTCTCACGCCTAATCAGCCTAATCACCATCACCCTCACTCAAACATTTGCCATCGTCAGCTGCTGCTGCTGCTGCTGCTGCTGTTGCACTGGATAAACTCTGAGTGTCTGAATGTCGAGGTGGCAAAGTGTCTGAGTGAGTGAGTGAGTGAGTAAGTAAGTGAGGAAGTAAGAAGTGAGTGTGCGGACGTCTAGACTGACAAATAGTCTGAAAGCTAAAAAAGGGAAGGGAGACAGGGGAATAAGGTTAAGAAGGCTGTTTGGGCTGTTGCTGTTGCTGCTGCTGCTGATTACCCTTTCGAAGGGTTTTCGCAGTCTTAGACGCCTTCGATGATGCTAAGCTGGGTCAAGTTTTTGTTATGCTGTTTCTTTCTAATGCGGAAAAACATCTAGCAGTTCTAATGCTACAAACTAGAACTAATAACTAGAGCTACTGGAACTCTGTTGTGTCACCAAGGAGCTTGATGGGCGACACAGGAAAGGCAAAAAATGGACAAACTGGTGTCTAGAAATATTAATTAAGCTTCAAAACTAAATCAGTGAGTGTTTTTATTTTTATATATCTAAGGGTGTGCTTGTTTGTCCAATATCCGTTTAATACAACTTTACTGTCAATAAAGTTGTTTAAAATTTGACCTCAAAGTTAGAGAGGGAGTGGGGAAGAAAGGGAAGTGGAATGGGAAGTGATCTTAAGTCGGAAGGGTTTACTGATTTAATTTTTATGTGTGTATTTGTCAGAAAAAAAGGAAAAAAAACGATGCAATGAAAAAAAAGAGGAATTGATTTGCTGATTTTATTTGTCAAAATAAAACTTTTTATGAGTTTATCGTTTAAAATTTTTAAAGAAACGGTTTTAGCCTTTTTTATTGTACAATGTTTAAATCTTTATTAGCATTGTTTGGCTTTAACAAAATAAAAANTTTATGAGTTTATCGTTTAAAATTTTTAAAGAAACGGTTTTAGCCTTTTTTATTGTACAATGTTTAAATCTTTATTAGCATTGTTTGGCTTTAACAAAATAAAAACAAAACAAACCCATTCTTATCTTTTATTTATTGATGACAGCATTTGAGTTTAAAGTTACATTTTGCCAAAATGTGTTTACAAATGAACTGTCTGGCGTTGTTTTGTCAATTTCTACTTTCTCCATCTTTTTATTTTCATTTTTGGTAAAACAAATAATAATCCGCAATCCGCAATAAACTACCAGTCTAGAGGCAATACACG